GTGCCTCGTGCGTCCACCATTCGTGTATACAAAATGCGTCGCACGAGGCATTCGGTTTGGCCCCGGCTGAAGTTGTTTACATTACTTTTGCAAAGTTGTATTACATATTGCAATTATGTGTTTCATATAGTGTTATTTCTGAAACAAGAGTAGTTTAATAGCTATATATGAAACCTGTCACGAAATGTCTTATTTTTAAGAAATAAAAATAAGGTGGAAATTAATTTGAACTGTAGGGTGATGGGTGACATACTTCTTTTATTCGTACGTTTCATATAACAGCCGCAGGCTACTGCAGGGTTCTGCGTAACACTACGAATACTTTTTGTGCTTGTAAAACAACGTGGTTTGATAGCTTGCAGTGAAGCTATAAGAATATAAGACCCTTTCTTACTGCAACTCACAAGAGACGCGGACTTGTTTTTTCCCGCGAACACATCAATTGGACCATGGACGACTGGAAAAACGTATCTATTGTTCACGGAAGAATAGAGAATGTGTATTTATCGAATGGATGGTCGAAATAAGATCTACAGAAGAGTTAGAAAACGTTATGCTGCCTGTATTCATCACCTCGGTTTGATTTTGGAAATGATTCGATAATTTTTTAGGCAATTTTTTTTAAGAAGCGCTCGGACGAAAGGCATATTAACAGCATGGCGATACCTAACAGATATCCTAGAAAAGCCTGCTGGACATATGCTAAGTGTGTTAGCAATAGTTTTCTGCTAATGCAGGATAACGCGCGACCAATCATGCCAAGAATGGTAACACATAACTGTGAAGAGGTCAGTATTCCAAAAATGGACTGTCCTACTGCAAAACTCGGTTAATAATCTTATTTGGCATATTTGGGACTTTAGGCAAGAAAAGAGAGAGGACGCATAACAAGTATATCAAGCACTCGTAGTATTCTGTGACGATTATCGGTTGGTCGCCATTACTTTGGTGCTTAGAATTTCGGCGACACCAAAGCTTCTTACTTGTGTTTATTTGTGATTTTTGAATTAAACGACATTTGATAATTAGTTTGTTACAATAGTTCATTGTAAAAGTTTAAAAGTGTAAAAGTCGTAGCGACAAGAAATAACCAGAAATAACGTTCCACATGTCTCACTCCAGAGTAATGAATGTTACCCGCCAAGTTTGTTTATTTTGTTTTTCATTGATTTTTAAGCAATTAATATTAAAATGGTCAAAAACGATTTTTTTTTCAGTGGCGTGTCGTACAATTCTAAACAATAACTTTTATCAAATAATAACGGATTTGTGAATAGACATTACAGAACCGAAAATAAACATGGATTTCAAACTGATGGTGGAATGATAGAAAGACAGTTGGTAAGGCCCTACTTTTTTGATGACCATTTAAATGTGGCTGCAGCTAGATGGTGCTACCGCACATTTTTCGCATAATGTCAGGATATATTTATACCAAACATTTTCTCAAAAATGGATGGGAAAGGAAGAGGAGGGCCTACTTATTGGCCCCCTAGGTCACTCGACTAACTACTCTAGATTGTCTTTTTTGGGATATGTTAAAAACGTAGTTTATTAAACTCAGTCGACCACCGTCGAAGATATGAAAACACGAATTCGTGATGCGTTTGCTATTATTAAACAGGGGCGTGCGGTCCATGGAAGCGGGGGAAGCACCGCTTCCCTTCACTTTGAGATTTAAAAATAAATATATTTCAGTTTACAATGCACAGTAATTAATATTAAATTAGGTACTATATTTTCTCTGAAACATTACGTAAACCTTGTAAATGTACTAACAATTCATTGGTGTAATGTGTAAACGCACGCACCACTCATCGAGTCCGTCGGCGGAAGCGCGTTTTGAAAAAGCCGGCTCATCTTCCAATTGTTTTCGCTTCGTGTTATTGACCCTGCTTTGCAGCGATAGTAGTCAGTCTATTTGAACACGTCAAAGACGGTCGAGAGGCAGCAATTTTTACGTTGCCTTACGCATATTGCAATTCGCACCGCGAGTCGACGTGTGACGAAAATCGTAGACTTCAGATAGATTTCGGTTTGTTTTTCGTAGTTGTTTTTTTCTTTTTGTAAAATGGAGGAACTATGCACTGTGTCTGTGAACAATAATAATGTGGTAAATTGTGTCTGTATTGTGTTCTCTTTATTGAAAAAAGGATTTTCAAGTAGAAATTTTGAAGAGAAAACGGACATTATTAATTCTAGTAGACTATAAAGGATCCTATCAATTTAGAGACGAAAGTAGAAAAGTCAGCAAAGAAATTTATCAGGTATTTTCAAGTAGGATTCTATGAAAAGTATGAATGGTTAACCGGCTGCAAAACTAGGAAGAAATTGTTTTGCTGGCCTTACCTACTTTTTAATATAGCCGAAAAATCACATTGGAACTCGGTCGGTATTACAGACTTTTCACAAAAGTGTAAAACGTCATGTAAATAGCAAATCTCATATAAGTGCTACAATTAAAGAAAAAACATTCGGGACCTATCGCATTGAACATAATTTGTACAATCATTTAATAATAAGCAATAAAATTCACAATGAAAGGGTAAAAAAAAGGGACGTCATACAACGATTAATAGATGTAACTTGTTTCCTGGGAGAGCATGAACTAAGTTTTAGGGGTCACAATGAAGCAAGTGGGTCCGCCAATCAAGGAAATTACATGGACTTCTAAGTTTTTTAGCAAAACACGATGATACCCTAAAAATCATTTTATTGATTCGACGACTTTCAGAGGTACCTCAAACAGAATCCAAAATGATTTAATTAAATGCACTGCCGACGTTGTTATGGATCACAATAAAGTAAAATTAAAAAAGCACCTTTCGTATCAATTGCGCTTGTAGAAATCACAGATGTAGCAAAATTAAGTCAATTATCCATTGTTGTGTGATATGTATTGAATGGAATTCCTCAAAAGCGATTCTTAGAATTTTTGGACGTCACTAGCGAACGAAGTGCAGATGCATTATTTAAAATTGTTGTGACATTATTTCAAGTTTGCATGTAGTTCTAAGCTTGTTTCCCAGAGCTACGATGATGCTACCGTAATGGCTGGCCATTTAGGGGGCCTTCAAGCTAAAGTGAAAGAGAAGTTTAAACACGCAATTTTCGTTCACTCTATAGCACATAGACTTAATTTGGTTTAATTGCAAAGCATGGATAATATTAAAGATTGCAAAGTTTTCTTTTCGACGCTTAGGTAGTGGTTTGGCTTCCTTCTTTTCAAAGTCATCGAAAAGAACTCGCGCTTTGGACATTCACGTTCAAGAAAGGTTTCCAAAAGTTGCTCCGACGCGATGAAACTACAATGGACGTTTAGTGCACACAGTGTTTCAATACCGTGATTCTTTGATACACTTTTTTCAAGACGTTTGGGATAATAAAGAAACATGGGATGCTGAAACTGTTACGGCCGCTAAAGGGCATTTGCATTGGCCCAAACAAAACTTTGATTTCAAATTTTCAAAGTCAAATGACATTGGCTTTTGCATTAAACAAATTGATAATTTTAAAAATAAAATAAATAAAAACCGAGATCAGTTTGAACACTTTTGGAATAATACTCAAAACATTGACTTAGAACCTAAAAGAAAGAGAATTAGAATTGATAATATCGGCGACAGAGAGACCTCCTATCGTCGATTATACGCCGAAATTTTTGATAATATTTTACAACAAATGAGCTCTCGATTTCAAAACTTTAACAAATTAAAATTTGTTGAATTGTGCAATTTTAATATTAGTAACTACGATTAATCAAAATTTCCATCGGAAGCTTTTAGTTCACTAAAATTAAATTATGGACATTTTCTCGATATTCCAGCGTTAAAGTCCCAGTTAAGTGTTTTTTATGAAAAACTGAAATTAGTGATAAAAAGGCGCCCATCAATTTGTTAAATTTTCTTATAACAACTAGTTTAAATAAGTCCCTTTGTGAGGTCGTCAAGTTGTGTGAATTAGTACTAACCATGTTACGCCTCAGGTCAAATAGCATTGGTGTCAAAATGGAACACGATTTCCTGCGACGTTACGAGTCCTCTCTCTTTATACCTAGCCTAAGTTTGGGACCAGCTCAACAGACGTATAAAACGTTATATAGAATCCGATTACAATAAAAAAAACGCCGACTAAGTCATAACCATTATTTCTAATTTCAATTATGTATTATCTATAACTATCAATAAATACTAAGCTATTTGGTATAAAAAGATATTTCCTATATTCCTATAATATTTACACGCTACTAAACCAACCGGTGCGGCGACAGCCAATGAATTACTTCGCCAAATGATGACGTACCTATGTTATTCTAATTATTGTAATCGGACCCTACCTGCTCCAACAACATGTAAAGAGCTCCAGTTGGTACCCTTATTGACGAATTTATCACTTTTCACCACGCAAACATTCAAAACGACTGTTTTCTTTGGTCAATCGAATGAATAGTGTCATCCAGAATCGAGTTGACAACGACGGTATTGAAAAGTGATTCTCGTCATTTCTTGCCTCGTCAGTTTAATTTAACGTAAACTGTAGGTGTAATTTTTCAATTAATTTATGAATTCACAAATTTTTGCTTACTCATGATGACCTCAGATGAAATTCTAAAAGAATTATTGAACATTGAACAAAAAAACAGCCTCTTTATGTGAACTGATTTATTATGTCATTAGTTCTCTTGTATAGAAGTCCTCTATTAGACATTCCACTAAATTTATTGCTATAAAAATATGAAATATTTTAAAAGATGGATAATCACGTAAATTATGAGAAAATATTAAAAGTCAAAACTGAGAAATTATTATTGCTCCCTATAATAATAATAATAACATGACAGTCAAGCAACAAACTAAACTATCAGATAGTGTAATGTTGGTTTCACCGGCTGAAAGTCACTGCCTATTTACTAGACAAGTAGGTAATAAACTGCCCTTTTTGCAGTTAAAACAATAATAGATTAAATCAAGTGTATGTATAAAAAGTATAGTCTTTCTTACCTCTAAAGCATCTTTAAGTGCAACTATTTCAGTTGTTTTATGTATAAGTAATGAAGAATCATCCAATTCATGGTCTATTAGTGCAAATGTAATTTGATAATAATTATTTTTTCGTTCCTGTTGGTTTGGAAAATTGGTTTCTTTATATATCTGACTCACATCTATTGAGTTGGTGGCATCACGATACTCGTGTTCATTTGCATATTTTACCGCTGCTTGCTGATTTATTTTATCAAAAGGAAAACATATTAATCTTAAATAATTTTTTTTAGAAATCAACCGAATTTGGTTTGTACTTGTAGTTTTCATCATCAATATTTTATTTTTTTGGAGGCAAGGACAGCTTGTAGAACGTGTACATATCATAAGTTTACGAAATTCTGCAGTTTGTGCTGTTTCGTGTTGTACATCTTCATTAACCTTAATTGTTTGTTCACACATCGATGCTTTATGTTTTAAATTAACGTTAGTTTGTATATGTTGCTCAGTTTGAGATAGCTGATCCTTTAAAATTTTTAGGTGTTCTTCTGTTTGTATCATAACAGAGTCTCCTTTTTCGTATGAAATTAAAGTTTTATTTTCAACTAATTCATTGAGCGATAATTTTTCTTCTGAATCTGCATTATTAAGTACAATTTCTTGGTGTTCAATGTTTTTTGTAATTTCATTAACTAAAATATGTACTTCTTTTTCATCTTCAGGTTCTTCAAATTCTATAAAATGTTTAACTATTAACTTTACGCCTATTGGTTTTAAAACATTCTTACTTATTTCACTTATACTTTGAATAGTTTCTGCAATTTGTGCAAAATCTTGGACATCTGTTTGTACTTCGTGAGTTGATTTTAATTCAGAAAGTGTGATACCTGTTCCTGCAAAATAACCTTTTGGGATTATTTTCGGAACTATTTGGTTTGATAATGTCACAACTCCTTCTATGATAATTTTTTGTGTAATATTTTCACAAACCGCCTTACAACTAACATCTGAATTTGATAGTTCAACACTGCCAGAAGAAGGAGTAGAAATATGATTACTTATTTCTGTATACGCTTCTTTCCAGTCTGCTTCAAAAATTTTAAACATTTCTCTTTGATCCTGGTCTAAAATAATTTGTATAAGGTAAAGAAACCACTCGGATAGATAAAACTGTTTCTAGGTTTAACAAAATGTAATAATTTTGTTTGATCTTTTTTTTTATAAAATGTGTACCTCATAAAAAAAAGGAGAAACTAAAAAAAACCATTTTTTTAAATTGTATTTTGACTTAAAGATAATAATTTAGATTTTCCGTATAATCGTGAAAAGGTCAAAAAATTAAATTGCATACTTAAAGTAGAACTGTTTTAGAATAAAAAAAAAACTGAAAACCTTACCAGTTTTTTCGTTATCTTCTTTCAGTTTCCCTTGGACTTCAGTATATATTTGAAAACTATTTTTCTGAAAATATAAAATATTTTATGTAGGATATAAAAAGTTTGTCAGTATTCCATTATTGTTTTATTAATTCCAAACTATACTGAATATTCTACTACCACAGCCATACTCAGATTCATACATTTCAGATAGATTAGTGTAAAACAAGATACACCACCAACTGAAATCAATTAAGGGAGGAGTACCACAAGGAACTAGAACAAGACAAAATAAACTACAAACATCAGTTAATCAAATAAATAACTGGGCCAAAAGATGGCGTATTAAACTACACGAAACCAATATCATAATGCTCAGATCCATTTGTTGAGTCAGAACAAAATATCTAGGTCCTGTATTTATAAAGAGATCTCAGTTGGCCTACGTTCTGTTTACCAGGCCATTTCGCCCTATCGCACTAACAAGTGCACAGTGACTTCATAGTTATTTTGTCGGAAAAATTGGAACGAATTTTTAAGATTTTAAAATTTCAATCTCAAAAATAAATCTATTTTAGGAAGCCTAGCATTTACCTATGTACATGCAATCTAACTTACTTTCTATATTGTAGAGCAGTATATCATTATTTTCATTTTTTATATTATACCGTTTTTTCCATAGAAATAATATAGAAGACAAATATAAATATAACATTTAAGCAGAAACTGAAACTTTCTGTGCATAAAAACGCGTCTCTGCGCCTGAAATTGCAAAATAGTGTGTCTAGAAACTGCGCAGTATGCATGACTTGTCCCTGTAGTGTTGCCAAGCATATTAAACATACCTAACACAAAATAATTTCAAATTAATTTATTTTTAAATTGTATGATTTAAACAGTTTATATCTATAAAATATCGCCACAAAATAATTTATAAAAATTTTAATAATCAACTAATAATATTTATATGTAATTACATTCCCAAAAATATATACAAATACGGTATTAATGTTCAACAAGCGATTCACCTACAAATTCAATATTGATCTGGCAATACCACTATAATCCGGTATTTCAAGTCTATATGATGCTGTCTTTACAGGACCTGTGATATTTTGTCTTGATTTTGTGATTTAATATTTAATTAAACGGTGACATTTTATTTTTAGTTTTGTGTAGTGTTAAGTTAAATCCTAGGTACAATAAAAGACATTTTTACATTGGCTGATGAAAATGTTATCAATGTATTTAGTAGCAAGATTTTTATCTAGAAATCTAGACCTACCTATATATAATAATTATTTAAATAGAGAGAGAGCTGTATATTTATATACAGGCTGCCCAGGGACGAGGAGACATTATCAGTATTTAACAAAACAATGAATGATTTTTTGTTAAAAATTGTTAAAACTAGTAAACGGGCTCTTTCCATCTAAAATATTCTGACAGTTCTGTTATTTCAGTTTTATTTTAAATGAGATGCCACTTCTATTATTCCTAATACCGATGGAACATGAAATGTTGCTTATTTGGAAAATATACCTTTACACAACGCTCATAACGTCAGAGACCGTGTTTCAGTCGGGTATAATTTAAAATAAAGAATTTTAAAATGAACCCTCTTAACTTGTACCTTTACCTAACATTTATGGCATCACTAGCCGAGTTGGCATCGGTTATATTTTCAAATGTTTAAACTGAAAATGAACCATATTAAATTGTACCTTTACTTAACATTTTTGACGTCACTGGCGGAGTTGGCATGGTTTACTTTCAAATGCGGGTTTTAAGGCATTTTAAAACATAAACCCGATCTCAACGAACTTAGAAATGCTTCTGTCACTTGATATTTTAATCATTACTTCCTCTTCGCTTTTTGGCTGGCACAACAATTATTTACAATTCTTTATTCCTTATCGCATGCGAACAAGTACGATTTAAAGAAATTTTAAAAAACCTACTTTAAAAATGAAGAAGTTAATGATTTTCTCATGGATCCCATCTTCCGATCTTGATTAAAAGTATATAGAACTATTCCTTTTCTAACAAAAAGAAAATCATAGAAATCGGGCAATGTGGTAAAGAATTATCGCTCAACATACATAAAAAAATATTTCATCGAATTGAGAATATTCTATTTTGAAGAATGTTAAAAAAAATTGCTAATAAAGTGCAAACATATATTATAAAGTATACATATAAAATGATGGATAAAGTCAGTTTAGAAAGTATTATAAATAAACTGTGGAAATATCGAGAATCTCGATTTTGAATCGGAAGAAGAGTATTCTATGCAATTTAGATCAAAATAAAACACATGAACGACACGCTAATGTTATTGACGACTTTTTTCAAATGTTTACTAGTTTTCCGAAAACTAACTGGATAGTTCGAAAATCATTTCCGTCGTTAAAGCGCCTCTTATTCCGAAAAAGTACACGCCTGTTAACATTTATCGTTAAATAAGAAAATCTCTGTATTGTAAGGCCAAAATATATTTAGAAATCAAGAGTCATATAAACAAAAAAATCATTATAAGTGAGATAACTACCAAATTAATGATTTACAAGTTTATTCTTATTATCTATAAAATAGGTTTCCAATATGCTGATGTAGAATGTTGTCATCGACTAAAAACTTTAAATCTTTGTATTAAATTGATCGAAACCAATTCATAAATTGGTTTAGACTATACAGGGTGTTATTGAAATACACGTACATATTAAAATGGGGAATAGTATGTAATGACCAAAAACGATTGGCACCAATTTTAACTTCAAATTCTAAAATTTAAATATTGGGGAAGAGTCCCCTTTTCCGACCTACTAGTTTCCATATTTAAAGAAGTAAAATAAATCGAAATTGAACTTACCCATAGAAATTGCACTGTTGCCGTAGCAAAACCAATTAATTCAAAATAAAGTTTATTACAGTAATTGTTCAAAATGCCGTCCATTATTATTTACACACACTTGCAATCGTCTTTCCAAAGAACTTTGAACATTAGAAATTAGTCTTGGATTTTGTCGTAGTTCCTCGGCTACCGCATTAACTTTATTGGTTAATTGTTCAACACTATTAATAGGTTCATTATAAACCAGTTGTTTCGTGTGACCCCACAAAAAGAAATCGCATGGATTTAAGTCCGGAGATCTCGGAGGCCACTTAGTAGGTCCATTTCTGCCTATCCACTTTTGAGGAAATCTAATGTTCAAAAACTGCCGTACGTTTAAAACAAAGTGAGGAGAAGCGCCATCTAGTAGGTACCACATCCGTTGCCTTAATTGTAACGGTATCTCTTCTAGGAGTACTGGCAAAATATCTTCTAAAAAGTGGAGATATCCTGGCCCATTTAATCTGTTCGGGAGAACATAAGGCCCGATTAAATACTGATCTATTATGCCAGCCCAAACATTTATTGAAAATTTTCTTTGATGCCCAGTTTCCCTAATGGCGTGAGGATTTTCATCACTCCAAATATGCGTATTGTGCATATTGAACACGCCATCACGAGTGAATGAAGCCTCGTCAGTATACAATAATATTTTTAGAAAATCAGGAATATCAACACATTTTTGAATCATCCATTCACAAAACTCCACTCTCTTTTCTTCATCACCTGGATATAAGGCCTGGACTTTTTGGATGTGATAAGGATGTAAACCTTGTTCTTTAAGTGTCCGCCACACAACAAATGAGGACACTCCAATTTCAAGACCTAGTCTTCTACAACTTAATTGAGGCCGGTTTTCAACAGCTTCCAATATTTCTTCTTCGGCCGCCAATGTTCTTTGTCTTCTTGTTCTCCCTCGATCTGCATTGACACTCTCAAATTTTCCATGGTCTCTTAGACGCTGAACAGTTGAAATAAACGTACGACAGTCCGGAATTCTCCGATTTGGAAACCGTTCGCGATACAGGATTTGTGCTTGCCGAGAATTTTCTCCAGCTGCCCCATAAACCAGCACTATATCCGTTAGTTCAATATTCGTAAATAGTGGCATCGTAGAAAAATATTTAAAAGTAATCGTAACAACACTTTTTACCAACTTGGAAATGACGCGCTCGTGTTAGCCAGATTCGTAAATCAACTAAAATTTTAATAATCTATAGTTTCAAAAATGTATAGTTTAAAAACAATCATTTATCAAATATTCTAGTTTTTTGATAACGAGGGTAGTAAAAACCAGTCTTCGGAAATAGAAATTAATTCGAAAATATTGGCAACATGGTTATTTCTTACAAGACTAGTTTTCTTATCATCTGACAAAAACTTGCATATTAATTACTGTTAATGTTTAAAATAGGTAAATAAACCTAATTTATATAGGTCATCCTCAACATATCAGTGAAGTACGTTTGTTTTAGAATTAATTTTCAAAAATTAATAACTCCCTTAATAAGGGGTATTTTTAAAAAATAATATTTTTCTACATTCAGTGGGGATCTGCGCAATACCCAGTTTTAATATGTACGTGTATTTCAATAACACCCTGTATAGAATGTTTCTATTAAGCAGCAACTAAGTTTTATTATGGAACCAAAAGACCCTTTTAAAAGGGTTCAAAATTAAAATAAAATATGTCCAAGTAAATGTAGTGGTATTTTTTAATTTTGAATCTTGAGAGATACAGACACCTTTGGATAATTTATAGTCTCGGCTGACAAAATGTAAAAAAATATCGAACATATATTCCTGTGCAAAACTCTCATCTGCCCCCTATTTGGCACTCCCCAGGTTAAATTTACTTGTAGCAAATTATGCAAATAAGATGTCAGATCACAAGCAAAATTTCGTGACTATAGCACTAATGATTGCTGAAAATTAACTAATTCTTATTTTATCGGGTCGATGGTGTAGCGGTCTATCGCGCTTATATTCATTTATAGGCGAGTTTATGAGTCCGAGACTGCTGGGCTTCGAATCCCAGACCAGACCATGTGGATTTTTAATTAAATTGCATGGTTCGGTTTAGGATTTGATGTGTGCCGTATTAATGGAAATTCAATTTCTGTTAATATGACATGCAGATTATAAAATCGCCATACATTATCGTCTCGATGATGGTGGGTGAGGTTTTCCGG